CCCACTCCCATGTTTTCCCTTGAGGGATCTCTTCTTAAATGTATGGAGGTTTAATTAAAAGGAATTGCTCTGAGAGAGCCAAAGAGTGTTATCATAGAAAACGGAAAATGTTCTAAAATGAAGAAGGATCATAGCCAAGAGCAAAGCTTTGCAATTCAGCAAGAAACCTTCCTACTATCAGCATATGTGTTTTAAATGTCACTATTTGAAATGTATTACAACAATCAGCATCCTGGAGTGAAGCTTGAAGACTATACAGACATCTGTAATGCTGTGGAAATGTTTCAAAAAGAGTGAAAGAAAACATTTTAAGGAGAGATTCTCAAATATTCACTCTGTTTAGATTTTTAATGGAGCTATTGATAAAGCTTGTTATCTCAGGGAGTCCTGACTACAGAATGCATTAAACTTCTTGGTTATAGTCAAATGGATGTCAACCAGAGATGGCATACATGGAGTACTTGATAAAAAATGCTGTTTATTTAAAGTATTAGAGTGGCCATTACGTTCAAGTACAAAGTTTCAATCCTCTCAGTAAACTTAATCTAGAAGGAATAAGATGTTTTAGACTGTTTTATGTTTCACTAGGACACAAGGTACTCTTCAGAGTTTTTTAAAAATAATGTCAAATGGAAAAGCTGGTTTTGACACATTCATACATGAGCAGAAGTAAGTTTTTAGGTAGTTTCTGTGGTGCTTTTCCATTATGGCCCACTTTGGGCTAAGGATATGCAGTGTATGTGTTAATCCTATTCAGAGAACTAAAAATGAAAAAGAACTCAAGTCATTGTAGTATTGTTGTTTGTGTGACATCCAAGGTAAGATTTGTAGTTCCAGCTCAGTCTGTAGCTACGTGACCTTGTACATCTTCAACTTCTCCAAGACTGTGGAAGTGGGGGCAAGGGAGAAGTGGTGTATGATTTCCAACTTACAGAATGGTTGTGATGATTCAGTAAATTATGTACTAAAGTATTTAGAAAAAAATGCATTCCTCCTCTTTTTTTTTTTTAGAATTAAATTAGGGGCTGACAGGTAGCGTGGTGGTTAAGGTGCTGGACTCCCACATGATCAACCATGGTTCGAATTCCAGACCTGGCAGCTTTTTCTTTAATTTTCCTTCTTTATCTCTCTCTGATAAAGTTAAAATAATAATAATAAATAGATCATTCTAAAATAATAATAATAGATCATTCTATGTAAAAGGAATTAGATTAAATTTGTGCCTTTTTCTTTCCATGTTTGAAAAACATTTTATATATATAAATAAAGAACAGCCAAATATTATTCAATAGAAAAGAACCTGGCACTTGTAGGAAGCATAGATTCTCTTAGCTAGAAGGAATCTTAAAAATTAGCTGGATAGGAGCCAGCAGGTGGGGTGGTGGTTAAGGTGTTAGATTCTATAGGGCCTGCTGCAGTTGGAGTCCTGGACATGGCGACTTGAAAAATATTCCAGGCACGTGTGAGTGCATGCCCAAAATCCAGAGAGGAGAAGGGATTGCGACATGACCATCCCCACAGGGGGATCATTTTTACTTCCCCTCACTCTGTCTCCCTCTGCCTCTCTCTGGTGAATGAACATGCCTTGTGGCAAGAAAAAAAGTCTGGATCAGGCATCTGTTTAGTTTATGAACAACTTTGAGAATCTGTTGAAAGTTATCCTCCTTCCCCCCAACATGCCTCTCGACACATGGAAAAATAGCATGTACTTTTAAGGAGATTAAGGAACCCCAGAATCCTATATCTAACTCTGTGGGTCAAGAATCCCCAGGTTAATTCCATCCTTCAAATCATGACAAGTTATGCACGGTATGTGATATATTCTTGTGGATTAAAAATTACTTTGAAGACTGTTTTCTGAAGAAATCTTTCCTTTAGTAATTTAAGAACAAAGCATGCAACAGTTATTTGAGTAGTATCCTCAAACTACAGATGCAGCTCATCTGTAGACTTGTTCTCTTGTCCACCCTTGATGAATTAGTGACAGAAGAACTATTTACCATCCCATGCACAGTTAAATAAAATTATTCAGGCATTGATTGAATTTTATTCCTTTTTCCATTTTTTTTTAATTTGCCAGAGGGCATGTGCATTCACCAGAGAGTGAAAGTGAAAAAGCACTGTCCATGTGGGAGGGTCACACCGTAAGCCCTTCTCCCGTTCTCCCTCTGTTCAGGAGTTTGGACACACATACACACACACGCACACCAGCGTGTTTTTCTAAGCTGATGGGTCTGGTACTTGAACTGTCCAGTCAGCCATGTAGGATCCAGCCATCTTAACCACCACACCACTGGCTGACCTTTGAGCTTAAGAGCTATTTAACTTTATTTATTTTTATGTATCTATTTATTTTTAGCTTGACCAGAGAGGGACAGAGTGAGGGATGAGAAAGAAAGAGAGAGAGAGAAAGTGAGAAAGCAAGCCATGGGTTCGGGACTCAAGCTGCAGTGGCCATGTGGGAGTCAGGCTCCTTTAACCACCATGCCACCTGCCCGCCCCTGACTGAACTTTTAACATGCTTCTCCCTCCAACTTTGGCCCATAATTGTGTTGGTACATTCTCAGAAATCAATCATCGAATACCTGCCATAGTCCAAAACATGCACAATATAACTTCATGAATAAGACCCAGTTTCTGACTTCGATCCAGACAAAATCTAGTAATGAACCGAAGTAGGAAACTTAGAATGAGGAATGTCTCATTCAGCTCCAGAACTCTGAGAAGGTTCTCATTCAAGGTAGCAATTAAATTAGACCTTAAACATCGAGAAAGAGTTTGCCAGGCAGAGGGCATAGCCTATATTAATGTGTATGCAGATATTCTGCAATGAATGATTACCTTGTTAGTTTGGAATAGTTCATTTATTTTAAATTATGGTGATAATTGGTGCTAAAATATATAGGAAGCTTCATTGAAGGCCCATTTCCTAGTGTTGCTAACCATGCATCATCATTCTTTGAGCCATGTAATCTCCAAACCTCTGGTTTGCTCTCCTCTCTGGCCCATGATTTTTACTCACTCGAAACGGCTTGCAAATTCTTCCTGCAAAGTGTTGCATCTTTGCTTGCTTATTTATTGACTTACTTATTTGGTGCATGAGTTTGCTAGAGAGGTGAAGGGAAAAAGCACCCCTCATAGCCCACCACAGTTTAAGTCACAAGCCTGGCGGCTTGCTTTCTCACTTTCCCTCTTTCTCTCTCTCACTTGTCCTTCTCTGGTCAAATTTAAATCAAATAGGGGACCAGCAGGTGGCATGGTGGTTAAGGCGCTGGACACTCCCACATGGCTGACCAACCGCAGTTGGTGTCCCAGACCGGGTGGCTCTTTCTTGCTTTCCCTCTTTCTCTCTTTTCTCTGCGTCTCTCTCTGGTCAAATTAAAAAATAAGTGAATGGATAAATAAAATTAAATATGTATTTATATATTTATAAATAAAATAAATAAAGTTAAGTAACATTCTTTAAAAAAAAAAAAAAGAAAAGAAACAAATGACTTAAAGCTGTTAGGAAAATTAGTGTGATACCATATGGGAAGGGCTCTGTGCTCTTCCCGACACAGGGCTGTTTACCAAAACAGTAACATTTGTAACCATCGTCATCACTTCTCTCCAGGAAATGCACCACATCTTGTCATACAAGTCCTCTGCAAAAATAAATAAATAAAAACTTTTTATCAGGGTCATTCAGTATTTCTACAGGATCATGCATCATGCTTCAGGCTTACCCTCCCCCATGTCTTCCCTAACTCTACCTGCCCCTTGCAGTCTTGCCTCCCATCTCCTGCATCAGCCATGTGTTCGCTTCACATTGTCCCCAAGTTTGTCTCAAGGTCTTCGTGTCCTGACCAAACCATAACAACAAAAACAACCCCCAAATGAAATGCACTGCTGTAGTCACGAGTAAGAACAAGTTCCAATCATGAGCAGTGTTTCACTGCATCATTTATCCCTGAGCTAGAGTAAACGGGAGGATCTTCTCCAAATTGAAACATGAGGTTTTAGGAAGAAGTTAAGGTGGAAGAAAAAAAATCTGTTGTGGGGAACAAACAATGGCTCCTTAAGCTTTACAGAAGCAGCTCTTTCACTGAAAATTGTATTTACCTTCCTCACAACCTCCTTACTGAGGCAGAGAGCCCAGGGACCTAAGACCTAATGTCCCTATTGGAAACTGTTCTTCACATTGTTTAGAAACAGTTTCATTACACAGGGCTTTTCTAATTTCTGCCAGTTTATTGTATCTTAGAAATCAACTACTTCGCCTTCCCTATTGCTGAATTCCAGGTAGCTGCACTTAATCTTATTGTGGCCTGTCCTTTTCATACCAGTTTGGCTTAATGCTGAAAGAACCTTCAGCTTCAAAGAATACTTCCTGCCCTCCCTTCCCTTCTCCCTCCTTCCCCCTTGAGTTGAAAGGTGGTGTGGGATGGTGGCAGGGAAGTAGGAGAAGAAATCAGTTAATTGCAGCCTGTCAGAATTGTTTTAGGTGACTTTGTACTTCTTGAATTTGAGATCAACATGAACCATAGACATTTGAGGCTGGGAATTTAAATAGCAACAACAACAACAAAAAAGCATGGACTCTGTTAATGCCAGGAATGACTCATCTGGCGAGAAAGGTATTGTATGGATAATACAATACAGAGAGAGGGAAAAGACTGTGGTATCTGCTCTCTTTGTGTTTCTGACCTTGAGGAGAATTATAACTTGTTTGTTGCAGAAGTTGAGCATCTAATGTGCCGATGCACCTGTTCTTATGTATTAAATGGCAGTGCACTCGCAGTTCTCTGTGACTGCTTTGTGGGTGAAATATTTTCTGCAATCTGGTGAACCTTTTTTTTTTCCAAATGATGTATTCATTTGTATTTCTTACATCTCTTATTTCAAAAAAAAAAAATCCTTTCTCATTCTGTTTCAATACCTTGGTCTCATCATTACATCTTAGGATATGTTTGCCTTTGTACTTTCAAGGTAACATTATTATGACTTTTTTTTATATATAGAGACCATGAACCAGGCAACTCCTGCTAGAAAGCTGGAAGAGGTTCTTCATCTGGCAGAGCTCTGCATAGAAGTCTTGCAGCAGAATGAAGAGCATCACGCAGAGGTGATGACTTGTTTTAACTGGAGTAGAAGGTTTTACGTGATGCTTTCCCATGGTGGGAGCAACACTTCAGAAGTGGCCTGACCATAATCTTGATACACATTTGGCCATTTTCCCGTAGAAAACTGAGAACATGTGTGAATTTCCTGAAAGTCTAACTCCTATGCGTTACAAAGCAACTATCTAGGTACATAATTTCGTGTTTATTGTTGAAAAGAATCATGTCATAAGAAACATAGGCGAGCTCGTGAGCTCTGTCCAAGGACACACAGCTTGTAAGAAATAAAGCTGGAACACAAGCCCAGTTCGTGATACCAAAGTTTTGCTTTTCTCCCTATACCACGATTGCCTTAATTTAAAAATCTAAATTGATCAACATGGGAAGGAAAATTTGTGATACACCTCATAAGGTAAAACTGGACAGAAGGCATTCATAATTGTATGATTGACAACTCTAGTCTTTCATTCTTGCCACTGAACTGCTCTTTAAATTTTTACTAAGTGTGTTTTGCTTATCTTTTTTTTGGAAGGATTTTTGCTATAGGGTATATGCACTCCTCGTCAGAGAGACAGTGAGAAATCCCTGGGGGGAGGGAGGATGGCTATGCTGCAGTCCCTCTCTCTCACGCACTCATTGTGGGTTTAGGCTGCTGGGTTCAGGACTCAAACTGCGGTTGACCACATAGGAGTCCAGCAATTTAACTATTTAACTATGCCACCTGCTGGCCCCTGCTTATCTTTTATAAAGTTCTAATTACAGAGTAACATTCATTAAAGATCCAGGATGACTTTTCACAGTCAAACTGCTTATCTTAAGACTTAAACCCTTACTTTATAGTCATGAGTTTATTTACAAATCAAAAGAGTATCTGACTTTGAGTTGAGTAGGGAAAATGTGTAAAATTAAATAAATATAATAAATTTCAATACCTTCACAGTGAAATTTTTTCTTGAGGGAGCACATGGAATGAGCAAGAATAACAAAGGCCAGATACATATGAATACATAGGATATTTATATAAGATGAAATTTAGTTCTCAAATTCCAAAAACTACAGGAACTAAATTTGAAGAGAATTCTTGGAAAAGAGTATTATGAAACTGTATTATAGGTAACTCAGATTTATTGTATATGATGATAAATATGATCATTCAAAACATCTGCTTTTAGCTCACACTGTAGAATCTAGATTTTAGCTTACATCTGTCATGTGTGAACTTGTTATGGATATTTTATTTTAAACTGAAGAAACAGCTGCTTCAATAATTTGAAATGAACTCCCAAGAGGTTCTTTTCTAGGCTAGTACCTCTGCTGTGTTACAACGAAAATGATTATATGATAAAATATATGTTTGTGTTGTCTTTGTCTTTTGTTAAAAGTCATTATCATCAGTCTATTAGGCCTTTTTAAATGAAAGAAAGTTTAATTGGATATCCAATTGCAGTTTATATTGCATCTAAACAGGTACCTCTAATATTCCCATGCAGTTTAAAAAATTAAAAATCGATGTTATTTAACATATTCCTTATAATCACTACAATGCTTGTTAAAGTATAGTATGTCCAAACACAATTAAAATGTAAAAACTATTTATGTTCCGATCCACTAAAAGATATTTGACTAATGACTAGAGATAAGCATAACCCATAAATCTATCAGTCTACTCTATTCTGAAATACAGAACTATTGTGATGACCTCTTTTTAAAATGCTTTGTAACACTATGGCATTTTTCTATTCCACAATGCTTCCAAATACTTGGAATCCCTCAGGGAAGAGAGGTGAGTAAAATTGTTTCCACTGTTTTCCTAGCATGGGGTAACGCTTTTATGCGAATTTTAGATAGAACCCATTGGGGGTCAGCAGGTGGTATGGTGGTTGGGGTGCTAGACTCCCACATGACTGACCATGGTTCGAGTCCCAGACCTGGGGCTCACAGAGCACACCAGGCACGTCTGTGTGTGTGTGTGTGTGTGTGTGTGTGTGTGTGTGTGACTGAAGTCCCAGGAGGAGGATTGCAACTGGCCAACCCCCTGGGGGGTGATTTCTCACTTTCCCTCTTACTGTCTCTGTCTCTGGCAAATATGCACCCTGTGGTAAAGCCCAAAAAAATAAAAAGATAGAACCCATTGTGATTGTAGTTCATTTTAAAGCCAATTTAGTTCTCTCCATGGAACTAAGATTCTTTTTCTTGGAGCAGGACAGTCTTCTTTATATGTATGTATCTTATTTTTTTTTAAAGAATTATTCAGTTAATTAATTATTTATTTATTGTTATTTTTAAATTTACTGTAGGGCATGTGGGCTCACCAAAGAGAGAGGGAAAATGAGAACGCAAGCTGCCAGGCCCGGGGCTCAAACTGTAGTCAATCATGTGAGAGTCCAGTGCCTTAACCCCCTTGTCACCTGCAGGCCACGGCATGTCCTTCTTTAATACTTAGAAGCAAAATTGTTCTGGCTATCAGAGGAAAAGACAACCAAAGGGATTTTCATATTTTAGTTTTGGTTGTGTCCTTGATTGGTTTTGCTTTTTGTTTGTTTGTTTTAACCAGAAGATTTAACTTTTTCTCTGAACAATATTGGAAAGTGAATTGGTCCGATTCCAAAGTCATTTCCGGAGTGAATTGGTGGACTGCACTCTACACTGATATTTATTTTGCTGGATGTTCAAGCTAGAGTTTCTTTACTCCATGAAAGAGCACCTAGCTCAGCTCCCTTGGTGAAGGTTAATGGATCTGCCTCTAAAAGACCTTCAAGTGGCTCCTGTGTCAGCTCCTTTTATTTTCATTCTACTTCTCTCCACAGTGGCAGTTTACTTTACAGGGCTAAGAGGTTATTTCTATCTTTCAACAATTTCTCAGTTAAGCAGGTTTCATGTCCTTCAGATCTTTGACAGTAACTTACTTACAAGGCAGTCCTCCCTTTTCTCTGAAGGCCTCTCGACCTCTCCTCTCAGGCTTTTCTTCAGAATTCCCGTGTTTTCTCCTTAGATAGTTTAAGCTCCTTTCCAGAAAATCTTTTAAGACTATCTCCACATTTCAGTGACTAGACCATGTCTCACCAGAAATTTTAGACAAACTGATATGACAACTGTCTATCCAAAAGCCATACTTGTTTTGACAAAGCTGAGAAATCTCAAATGTCTGCAAGAACAACTTCAGGCTCTCACCAGCACATTCCCTTGATACGTACCTTTTTTAAGTTTGTAAATTTTATCATGATAGAAAGTGTGTGCATGCCTGTATGAGAAAGAGAGAATTACCCTTGACTGGGTCTCAACCTGAGGTGACCCATTCTCCCAGCTCTGTTGCTTGTTAAGATCTTGGGTACCCATGCACACCCGGCACACGGGAATCTGAGCCTACAAGTTGGCCTTGCAGCTTCTAGCACTGAAGTTCAGCACCCTACCCCCTGTCCAATTGAGGCTGGGCTGATACATATCATGTTAATGTTAAGAAAATATTCCCAGAGGCCAAAAGGTGGCATGGTGGTTGAAGCACTGGTCTTCCTCATGGCCAACCATGGTTCAAGTCCCAGACCTGGTGTCTTGCTTTCTCACTTTTCTTCTTTATCTCTCTCTCTGTCTCTCTCTCTCTGGTCAGATTAAAAAATAATAAGTAAAACTTAATTTTTTTTAAAAAAAAAAAGGAAAAAAAGAAAGAAAATAGACCCAGAAAGAATGAGTAATTTGCCACAGGCTCGTAGCTAGTTAGTGACTGGTCGTAGGCTAGACTTCAAATTTGGATATTTTCTCATAAGCCACATTCCTATTTTCTTATTTTAAGTAGTATGACCAGAGTGGTCATCCTGCCCTGGCTCTGCTAACAGAATTGGCATTCAAACATTGTGGCAAGGATGTAAACATGTGGGAGACATTTACAACGCACTCCTGGAGATGGCCCTTTCTTTTGTGTCATTTTCTTCTTTCCTTAGACGGTGCTGTGTCCCAGGACTCTGCCCAAGGGGATGGTGTGCTGAGCTTTTCAGTAAAGGGGCTGAGAGAGAGAGTATAATAGCGTGCACACAACTCGAGGCGTTGCTCTGTAGCTCACTATTACAGCAAAATATTTTTTTAAAAAAAAGAATTGTTTTATTTAACTTTTAATTTATTATTATTTTTATTTTCCAGTTTGATCAGAGAGAGACAGAGAAAGAGAGAAAATGAAAGTGAGAAACCACACCACCTGGTCCGGAACTTGAACTGTGGTTGGCCATGTGGGTGTCCAGTGCCCTTAACCACCATGCCACCTGCTGGTCCCTACAGCAAAAATCTTGATTTAATGTCCTTAGATGCTTTTCTTTTCTTTTTTAAGAGAGATTTTTGCTATAGGGCTCATATGCTTGCTGGAGAGACAGAGAGAAACAGAAAGCAAGAAATCACCCTCCATGGGGGATGACCATGACACAATCCCTTCTCCTCTATTCTCTTCTTGGGATCTTGGACATGCACACACATGCATCCAACATGAGTTTTTGCTTTTGTTACCTTCTAAAATAATTGTTTTATTTAACTTCATTTATTTTTAATTTGACCAGAAAGGGAAAGAGCAGGGGGTGTGGGGGGGGGAGGGGGAAGGAGTGTGAAAGCAAGCCACCAGGTTTGTGTCTTGAACCGTAGTCGGCCATGTGGGAGTCCAGCATCCTTAACCACCATGCCACCTGCCAGCCTTCTATGCCCAGCATGAGTTTTAAGCCACCAGGTATGGGAATCAAACCTCCATTGACTATGTGGGAGTCCAGGGATACAACCATTATGACATCTGCTGGTCCCTTTACCCTCAGATGCTTTAAACATAATGTAGTCTGCCTTCTTGGAGACACTGGAGGTAAGAGGATGTATGCCAGCAATTTGACTTGTGATGTAAATAGCTCACAACTCTCTGCCAATGGTTGATTCATCCCCCATGTCAGCTGGCTCTGTCCCAGGCTATTCCAGCAACAGAACCAGCACAAAGGGAGGGTTCAGTGCATCCACGCTTATTTATGCAAGTGCTCGCTCCCCAAACTGAGTATTTGAATTAGATTTTGCTTCAGAATGGATTGTAACCTACAGAAAAAGCATGTTTGGGTTTTTTTGTTTTCCTTTTTTTTTTTTATGTATGTGTCCTTATTCCTCTCCACAGGCATGCGTAGCTAAGGAATATGATTATGAGTCCTTATACAAAAGACCTGATGATGAATAAGATCTTTTTGCAATTAATACTAACTACATTACAGTAATCTCAACAGTTGAACTGATATTAATTATCTATTATTCATATTTAGATAGACAGTGAGAGAAACCAACCTTTTATTTATTTCCTTTTATTTATTTTTGTTTTTTAATTTTTTCTTGGTTTTTGCTATAGCGTGCATACACTCATGAGAGACACAGAGTGGGGAGGAATGAGAAATTAGTCCTTGTGGGGATGGCCATGCTGCAGTTCCTTCTCCAGTCTCCTCTCGATATTTTGAACACACACACACGCACACACACACACACACACACACACACACAATCAGCATACTTCACAAGCTGCAAAGTCTAGAACTTGAACCACGCAGTCAGCCATGTGGGGTATCCCAGCACCTTAACCACCACACCACCTGCTGGCCCACAAACCAGCTTTTCTTCAGGGTGCTTTAGATTTAAAATTGAATTAGCCTGTAAAGTACAAATGAGCCCCATTTTGGAAGAGAATGACCACCAGGTGGTTTTCATATGGACAAGGCATAGAGGTGGCTTTCCATTTGCAGCAGTGCCTCTCAAATGGCATGGACATAAATGCCCTACAAAAAATGTTTCTAAATAATTTACTAATTTTTAAAAGAATTATTTAATATTATTATTATTATTTTAATATGCTATAAGGAACATCCATTCCAGAGAGAGAGGAGGGGGAAAGAGAGAAAGCAAGCCGCCATGTCTGGTACTCAAATTATGGACTCAAACTATGGTCAACCATGTGGAAGTCCAGCAACTTAACTACTATGCCACCTGCCGGCTACTTACTAGTATTTTTTAGTATGTATGAATGAGGGTAACACTTTACACTAATATATGTTTTGAAGCATATTTAACTAATCCCATGGTTATTTTATTATTTATGCTTATGTATAAACCTGCTGATCAGAAGAATAATCAGAAGATGGGCTAGCAGGTGACGTGGTGGTCAGGAGTGCTGGACCTCCCACATGGCCGACCATGGTTTGAGTCCCAGACCTGGTGGCCTTATTTCTCACTTTCTCTCTCTCTGTCTCCCTCTTCCTCTCTGGTCAAATTAAAATAAATGAATGGATTAAAAAATAAAGTTCAATGAAATTGCTCTTTAAAAAAAAAAAGGATAATCAAAGAGTCAATGAGTTTGATAGTAAGTTAACGGTCACCCTAAAGTTCTAGTCTATTCTTCTGGCCCCTCAAGAGATTGGAAATATTCCTGGAATATGGCTCCTCACCCTCACTTTGCTGTTTGTGTGAGCATCCATATGCGTAGGGGCAAGGGAAACCCTGGGCACTGCATTAGCTGCAGAGATTTCAGGATCCCTACGAATTACAAGATCGCATACTGATCTCATCTTGAGGAAACAATAAGCACATAATTCATTCCAAAGTCAGGGACACTATTCTTGCTCACTTACTGAACCATCCTTCCTTCTTCTTCTTTTTTTTTTTCTTTTGGAACATACAATGTTTTTATTATATTTTCAGTGTCAAAGCAATCAAAAGTTTCATACTTCAAAGAAGTTAGAAAAAAATATGGGAATCAGACCAAAATGGTTGTTTCTGGCAAAAAGAAATGAT